TTATTCATGGGCTAGAAAAAAGGGATATTAAAAAATAAACTTACACAGTACTTTACATAGATTTTGACCTTCTTAGCTGTCCAAAATGATATAAATGTGATAAGTTTGACACTAGCTTTCTACGTCTATAGTAAGCGAAGTAGGACAGAGGACTAAATGTACTATTATTAGAAAGCTGCTGGGTTGTATTTAAAAATCAGAGATATTCATGCATCACGCTTTAGTACATAAGTCAAACATGAGGCCAAACCTTTAAATGAGTCAGTAGCACAGCGGTTAGGACTCTCACCGACCATGCACATGGTCCGAACTTCGATCCCCTGAAGACGCACACTTCATATCTATGCCCAGCCTGCAAAATTTGGGCTACCGATATCACATGCTGAAAATTGCATACCTGTACCAAAAATATACAGTGTGGAATCAAGCTATAATCAAAAAAAAGTAGATCTCGGTCATATTATAAGCATATAGCTTGTGTACAAGAGATGCAGAATATCGATGGTTGGATACTGTCAGTGACATTCTATGAAATCGTTCATAGTGATAGAGATATATTCACTCCTTATAGTCTTCGAAATCTTGCCCAACTGTTCATCGTACTGTCATATATACTATTATAATTATAAATTTCCACAATCTTTCTATTTTCGTGCTGATCCATTCAATTGGACAATACATAAATCATGATAGGCCGGGATTCAACTGAATATTCAGGTTTCTGTTTTAGAGATTAAATTACAGAATTCCCTAACCTGAATTTTCCCTATCCATCCCACTGAATATGTTTTTTTTAAACTTGTCTCTTGTACGAATATTCCAGTGGTACAGATACATAAATCAGTTACTCATGTTACCAGGAGTGTGATAAATCAAGCCTCTTTTCGGATTTAATATAAAGTTTGTATGTTTGAAGTGTGATTTTAAGTGAACGGTGGAGTCGTTCCTTAATTACTCTGACAAAATCAGAAGTTTTGAGTGTCATAAGGTTATTGTAAGGCAGAAAGGCTGAAGGATTAGGCAGAATCCCTTCGGGATTACCGACACCGGATCCAGAAACTTCGGTGAGTATTCTCACGCCACTACTACAGGGACCTTGGAAAGAAGAAAAGGCACTTATTGACTGGAAAAAGGACTTCGTTGTCAGAATACTAAAGAAAGGCAACTTAAGCCCTTGGAAATATTTCTGCAGAATCACTCTTTTGTCCTCGCCAAATAGAAGATCAAGTTATATCTATCTAGAGGGACTAAGAGATGCTGTGGATGTAAAACTCCACTCAAAATAGGCCGGATTCGATAAAAGCAAAAGGCGGATTAAATTGCCATGTTGTGTATCAACGTCGAGCAGAGCACAGAATGGAAATGAAACCTCTACCTCAACTTCATTGACTGACTGACTGACTGACTGACTGACTGACTGACTGACTGACTGACTGACTGACTGACTGACTGACTGACTGACTGACTGGTTTCAGTGTAGAACTTTGCAAGGATGTGAAACCGTTTGAGTTGCCACACTCCATGAAACGCACAAAGCAAGAGAAGAGAGTAAAGGAATGTTCAAAAGAGAGATAATAAACAGAAGTGCGAGGCAAAAGGAATAGTAGTGCGAAAGAACGATAGAGTTTTATTGGATGTGATAAGTCACGAGGAGTGAATGCATCTGGGCCAGCCATCAGTGAGATCGATTTTGACCCACATCACCAAATGTATCCAGCCTTCATCGGTTCTTACCATCCTGAGGACCCCAACCAATCAGAAAGTCCACAGCTCCCTGCGTGTCTGGCTTAAAGTAACTACTATGGACTTCATGACTGATGCCATGTTTTTATTTGACCACCACTAGCTCCTTTCCAATCTGATCAATCCTGTCAGTCAACTGAAATTGCCCGTCGAAGAAGGCGATGGCTAGACACATATAACATCTGTTCCAACCACCTTAATCAATGTAACTGCACAACCTCGTCGATTGTCTTCCCCTCCTTACCTAGCACTCGACCGAGGCCTAACCTCAATGTCGCTCATCCTGTTATGCCACCCAACACGGGAGATAGAACATAGACACCTATAATCGAAGATGGTTCACCTTTTCATATCTTCCATTTTCAGTGGCCATGTCCCACAATGGTAAAGGAGGACAGAGCAAACTGCTGAGCGTATACACGTCCTTTAGTCGATAGGCAGCCAGACATCATATCTACTAGGCGAGAGATGACGTTATTTGGCTAATGAATGCCAAATGAGCCTTCTGTATGCGTGCTGAGATTGTGTCAGTGATCAACCCACTAGGGTTGATGCAACTTCCCAAATAAGTGAAGTAGTCAACACTCTCCACCAACTACTTCACTCCCTATCTTTAAACTAAGAGTGAGTCGATGTAGTCCAGTCCTGTAACCTCATCATCTTACATTTGACAGGAGTGAATCGCATGCCAAACATTCGAAGATTGCTGCTCAAGGTGTTCATCGACGTCATACACTTTGAAAAGGCATTCGACAGCGTTGACCAAGAAGTGATTTGGAAATTAATTCAACACCAAGGAGTGCAATATCGCAAAACTTTATCAAGCCTCATTCAACTGCTATATGACAATGTCAAATACCAAGTGATTCATAGAGTAAAACTCAGCAAAACCTCTGCAGTGAAAACAGGAATAAGATAAGGCTGCCTACCATGATCGATGATATTCCTAAGTGTGGTAGACTGGATCATGTGCTAGACTGTGAGGAGCAATAAAACAGGAATACGTCGAACTGATAAAAATTCTCTAGATTTATTTCCCATATCACACAAATTTAAAGATATACCAGCGAAAATTAACAAGTTAACATAAGAAGCAGCCAAGACAGGACGACTTCAAGTAAGCATCAAGAAGACGGAGGTGATGAAGATACCTAACCAACAACAACAACAACAACAAGCACCAAACACTATCAAAGGGAGAAATTTGAAGGAAATCACTTCTTTCACTTATTAAGCCATTTTCGTTTTAATTACAAGCAGCATGGATGACGATGTCAGGATCAGGATCTGAAAGGTAAGATAGACCTCTATCACTCTGAAATCGGTGTGGAAATCTTCTACAGTAAGCATAAAGAACGAGATTCCACATTTCAACACTGGTGTCAGTTCATTTCTTCTGTATGGTTCAGAGACTTTGTGTATCACGAAAAGCATTTCCAACAGCCACCTGCAGACTTTTATTAGCAGCCGCCTTCTCTGTCTCCATACTGTAGATCAAATGGCCTGTCAGATGGAAATAGTAACAAGGAACTCTGGCAGGTGGCAAACCAACCAAGAACCTATCGATCGACAAGTATGCAAAGCATATAGGCTATCATAAGGTCAGCTAAAGAGGACTGCAAATGATCGAATGAGATGGGGATATGCTGTTGAAACCCTATTTTACACTCGGAACCTATAAAAATAATAATAATAACATGAGAATAATTGCTTGTAGAATAAATAAAAATCCTAAGAATCTCATGGAGCATGTTATTAGTAATCGGAAAGTAAAGTGAACCTAATAGAGAGACAGACAGAGAGAGCGGATAAAGTGAGTATATGACAAACAGGTTATTTCTGTGTTCTGTTGAATTGTGTGTTTGTAATGGTTACTTCCTCATTGTAAACATTGTAGAAACTAATATTTTGAAGTCAAGAAGTCCTACATCTGTCTCCTTGCTCGTTCTTATTTTTCACTGCCAAATATTCCGAAAATTCATAAAAAACACCACCCATCTTTATTAAATGTCAGCAGTGATCATGTCTGAATGCAGCTTTAAAATATTTCAAACGGAATTTTCCACAATATTATTTCTGCGACCGAGTAATGTTTTCCAAAACATTTCAAACTACTCATATTGATTAATCAGTAGTATGTTCTTAACATTAAAATTCCTGGTTGGATTATGAAGAAAATCTTCCCTATAGTTATATCACAACGTTTGTCGACCAGCTTATTTTATTATCATTTTACAAATAATCAATAACCTGGAAACATCGAAATAGAATCTTCAGCAAATGCCAGACGAGGCTTTCCTGTTCGTGCCAAAATTCCGTCAGCAATCAATGATATACGTATCGAGCTATTTCACCGATTATCTTTAGACTAGTATTCGGTACTGACCGTGCTGCAACAGCTTCTCACATTTGACATGCATTTTATAATAATATTTGCTTAAAAGGACTATAACATCCGTTTACTCCAAACCAACGAGACCTGACCGTGATAGCGTGTCAATCAGTGAGACGTCGAAGTCGACCCGGGTAGTTCCTAAATATTTATATCAATTAGTACTATATACCATCAGGCAAAAATGCTTGCTTTCTTGATTGTCATTTATGATATCGATTAGATCACACATGCTGATCTGAGTATTTCTAGTTTTTGAAGGGAATATTGAGGAATTTCCACCTTGGACCATAAATGGGAAGTTTAGTTATGTGAAATTATTACAGGATCATAATGAACATTACTAGCATAACCTGAATACTGACAGTAATTCATTCGGTGAAATTCGCGGAATGAATATTAAACTACATAACACTTCTCCTTGACGTAATGCATTTCTGGTTAGAAATTTGAACCAGGTAATAAAGTCCTGCATAAATTTAATCATACCTTAAGAATAATCAATAGAAGCATATACAAGATCCACGGAGCACTCGAAACTTTATTTATCCAGCAGTTACCATCTTTAATTTATATTGAAATGCTGTCTTGACTGCCATCAAAGGTTAAACAGTAAGTGTCCAACTCCAGTTTAAGGTACATAATAATAAATATGTGTATGTGAACGAATATAAAACTGAATTAAAGATTACTATTAATAATAATAATGTAAAGATAAAAGTAACTAAATAAGTGAATTTTAAAAGAAAAACAGTCTAAATCAAATTTCAGTACTTTACAGAAATGAATAATTGATCAGTTAAATGTTCATTGTTTAAATACTCAGATAACATCATAACTATTATAATATATTGTACAAGTTCATTTTATTCTTCAGATTGTGTTGAATGAATATAGCAGTTCGTGTTTGTTAGTCTTTGTTGTTGTTCTTCTAATTTTTCTCTTTAGATGACCTATCAGGGCATAACTATTGATGGTTTGATGTTTCGCACTCATATCACCTCATTGATTTTTGTGTCTGAAAACATTAGGAATTGAAAAAAGAAGGAGAAATAAGCAGACGAAACGATAAACATTATTCTTCAAATTTGATCATGGTTGGTTGATATTATTTAAAGGACTATTGAAAAGCAGAAAGTAATGAACATTTGTTTCGCCCTTGTTCGGGACTCTTTAGTCGCACACATCGATGACTGCGCTGCTAAGTATTGAATCTACGACCTTCAAATTACTAGGTGATCTCGTCAAACATTCATCCACTGGGATCGAATTATAACTTCTCCCAATTCAAGGTAAACAGGGCGATCATTAGACAACCCCATCGCTGAGTATTTGTTCACCCTGCCTGATGGACCGCATTGGTCAAGACTTCTCACTGAAACTCCAGGCATCTTCATCTTACGGTAAGTCACTAGTCAGCATCAGATTTATTTTCAAGTGTTAGTTCGTAAAAAACAACAGAAATCCTCCCACAAAGCAATTTTGGTAATCGGTGTTAATCTTATGTTGCCCAGTAGTCTATCTGATTGTTTTTCTAGTGATTACCGCTGCAAATTAAAACCTGGTCAACGGGCTGGTCTTTTAATCTAACTACCAGTGGAGTCTTAGGTGAGTACCGTTGAGTGAGCTCCAAAATAAGATGAAAAATGGTTATCTACTATTTTCTGGTTTCTGATAATTCTCTAAACTGAAATCAGTCAAGTTGCTACAAAACCAACACTTGAGCATATATTGTCGCTAGCTTATTTGTATGGTTTGCAGTAATTAATGACCTTGTTTTAATTGGTGGATGGTGACTAGAAGTGGAATCCAGGATGCGCATTTCGTCCTATTTGGGACTCGTCAGCTACTGGATTTACCTGCTCTCCTCAGTGAATGATGGTATTCCCACTGAATGTAATGCACATATAACGAAATGCGCATCCTGGATTCCACTGCTAGTCACCATCCACCAATTAAATTCTAATTACATGTCCAGATATCGTCGAGGCATCTGCATTAGAAGTCGACATGTCAACGTGAGACCGAGCACTTCGGTCCAGTTAATCTACGGGAAAATCTAAAATTCAGTTTTAAAAAAGCTTGTTTTAGTTGAGTGAAGGTAGGGGAAATAGCTGTCTATCATATATGGAATTCATTAACTAGAAGATGTGTGTTTACTGACTCAGTTTTTTTGTTAATTAAGAGTCGAATACTACGTAGGTATCAGTAGAAAAGACATTTATTCGAAATAGGCTTATAATTATAGTAATATTACTTTTTCTATAGATGTGCATACAGATAAATTTACGGACAGACAAGCAGATCCGTATACAAGTTCTCACAGAAGTATATCACTTCAAGATGCTATGTGTTATTCATCAATATATTCACTAAGTTACTTCAATACACCATTATGTGGAAATCCAGATGTAAACATTTGATAAACAATTGTCCGGCGTTCTAGTGAGAAGTAGTGACCAGTAGGGTTCAGCTAATCGGTTGTGAGGACAAATACTCGCCGAAGACATTGGCTAGAGGTTGCGTTATTTTGTTAATTGGCAGAAGCTGGAATTCATTAACTGGCCATTGGATCGGGTCCCAGTGGCTTAATGGTCTGCAAGCTAGCTGGCTTTGTAATCAGAAAGTCCTGGGTTCGAACCCTGGCGGTGGGTGCGTACTTCTGAAGAGTCAAAAACTAGGAGGAGACAGCTGTCCAGTACTCCTTGGTGGGTTTTCCAATGGTTCTCTAACTAATCTCGATTCATAGTGAAATCCTGTAACTGCTGAAATTATTCTGTACTCAACTGAAATGAGTTGGAAAATTAAGATAGTAATTTAAAAAAGGTAATACCTAGTGATTACATCATGTCTGTTCTAGTTAATGTCGAACAGTTTTACTGAAAGTTTCAAACAGTTGATTCTTGATATCTCATAGACTCCCCTCCTCCTGCCTAAACTACTCATAATAACAATAATTTCATCATGAATTATATAATATAACTTGATTTGTTCATTTATAGCTTTGTACTAACCTATTCCTTTACAGCTTAAGGTTCTAAATAGTCAGTGATTACTTAATACCAACTTCAGTTCCATAACCCACATTCGTGCATTCCGCTCCAGATTATTCATCTCACTAAGTAAAACGTATTCCGGAACGTAATTACCAGTATTTGATTGGTTTTAAGAATTGTCTGTTGGACATAAATACAGTTGTACAGCTTTCGAAAGTAATTCTTCAGAAAGAAAATTTCCTTTAATGTCACATTTTTTTATAATATTATATTCACTATTTGTAACAAAAACACCGATAGTAGGACCACTTTAAAGTACACAAATATAAAAATCCTCTTTGTAAACGACCATAGTTATTACTACAAAAAACTATTCCCGTGAGACAGTTTGTAAATGTTTACCCCTAAGATCCTTAGTATGATTTAGGTTCCATGGATCATTTTTAATGTGATTTTACATCATATCTCTGTGTATGCAGTCTTTTCAGACAATGAGTGAGTGGTTTTACATGTAGAAAAAGGTGATTGCCATTACCCATCCCTTATCCCCTGACTAGCGGGCGCGAAAGATAAACATATGGGAAAGTTGAATAACCACTGTTCCAAATCAATAGGAAACATAATCTTCCTCCTCCAAAAGGAATGGTTACCCATGAACTTGTATCAGTCACTGACAGTTATGGTAATGTAGCCTGTGGAGCTGAATTCTACTTCTTATTGGAAAATCAAAAGGATATCTTGGTATAAACGTCTTCTCTGGTCTGGATATCTGGACCATATCCCAATCTTACACAAATTATAGTAAAATAATTACAATGAGAATTCTAAAACTCAGGTATAACGGTTAAAAAAAAGTTATAAAAGTTGTACGCTCAGTTATTAAAATTATTGCAAATATATATGTCAGTTGCTATTTTTATCTGCTCATGAATGGTATTGTTTTGTCATCTTTATAATTTTGCTTCTATCTCTTTATTTTACTCACGTCTTTATTCTATTTAATTCTGCATTCTACAAGATTTCTGCGTGGAACTAGACACGACAAGAAATAGCTCTGGAATTAATCACTGAATGCCTCGTTATAGGTGTATACTGGATTTCATGGACCTTAATACAGGGTATCAGTGGACTTCGTCAAATATCTTTTGAACCACTTGGCTCAGAAAGCATGTATCTTATACGCTTATCAGGTGACCCTGTGGCATATATATATTCCACAGAGCTGATATCATACTAGCTTCTAAGGCCGAAGCTACGCTTCTTAATTCCATGTCCTACATTAATAAATTGTAATGTTAAGCCAGTGGGTTCATTTAGAGCAATAAGTAGCTAGCAGACGATATTTTTGTCTTTTCACCATCACTATCTACTCTAGAATTGATTATAGTTCGAATGAAATTGAGGATGACTTATGCCTTCACTAAGGTGATCCCACCCAAGGGTGTTCTGTACAAATAATTAATTAATTGTGGTGTTGAACAGGAAATAAGGCGTCTACTGAAAACTAATTGGTTGTCTACTAGATAATGAAGTGTGTCTAAAACTCTGCATCCACCATTATTTATTTCTATTCATAACGAATTCCCGAACCAGTAGTCCGCGTTACGTCTCTTGACATCCTTCCTCTATCAATCAAGCTTACACCTAGATAGATCACATTTACTGTAATAGTTGTTTTAAATAAGGCAACTGGCTGCGCCTGCTACTGTAATTAAATACCAAACTGTGGTAAATACAAGACCTCAGGAACTCATGATTTCTGATAGAGCTCACTCAGCACCTACATAAAGACACATGACATTGGCTACATCCTAGTGACTGGTGGATGTATCCATTACAGTCTTATGGGATGTCAGTCATGAGAACAGTCAGCTCTTTGGTAGTGTCTCTGAATACGAAATTGAATGATGCGCTTTCAAATCTAAGGAGGGACATTACTTGCTTCCAGGTTGGAGATGCATCTTTGTCATATATATCTTACTATGATAAGTTACTTTGATTAATATCTTACCTTAAGAGTTGCATTACCTTTTTTCAAATGATGTTGCATTTCAGTCTTAAAGTGTATTTTGCTGGTGAAGTATTCCAAAGTACAATTTAAAAAAAAAACAACTGCTGACATGTCAAATTCCACAGCTTCAACAGTTCTCCTTCCACTTTATTTTCTCTGGATTCAAAGAAATTCATTTATTATCTTCTATTAAATGACAGTTACACCATTTTACTGTTTCCTCATTATTACGACCAGGCGCGTGTTCTTCACTTCTATTGTACTCCTGGTATGAAATGTCATTTAAATTATATTCATTTACTGGCTTTACATAAACAGAATTTTCACCATGTCCAACATTCTTATCACAAATTCCACCATCATCAACGTCTACATCCTCATCACCATTATCATTATTGTCTTTAGTAACAACAGCTTCAATAGAAACAGTATCCGCCTCATTCTGTTGATGATGATAATAATAGTAGTATTCATCTTTTTCATTAGATTCATCATACCCGCCATCGTCATCACCATCACCATCATCATCATCATCAATATGCTCAACATCACTAAATTTTTTAATTAATTCTCTTTCTTCATAAAATTTTATACGATTTTTATCATGTAATATTCGTAAAACACGATTACTACGATTACTACGATAATTACGTAATGATTGTTGTTGTTCTTGTTGCTGTTGATGTTGCTGTTTCGTATCACTTGATAATTTACATGTTTGATTGGGTAGTACTAATCGATTTTGTAATCTTTTATTATCATTATGATAATAATGAGATAATATTTTAAATTGATTTAAATATGCTCTCATCGGTGTCCGACGTGAATAATATCTATGCAAATCAATACTATTCATTGTTTCTTGATCACGTTGATTGATGTTATAAAGAGTTGTTTGATTTTTTTGAGATTGTTCATTTTTTTGTATTAAGTTAGATGGTGATGGTAATAGTTGTGGTGGTGATGAAGATGATGGAAATAGTTGATGATTTTGAAGTTGCTGTTGTTGTTGTTGTTGATGACTATATCTTCGATGTCCATTAGTTCCTGAAGCTTTTCTAATATTACCATTTTGTTTAAATGATAAATCAGAATCATCTGGACAAATATTTTCGAATGGATAGAATACATCCTTATCAATATCGTTATTATTATTATTAGTAGTAGTAGTAGTGGTAGTGGTAGCATTTGAATATTTTGAATGTCTATTATTACTCAGTTGATGAGGATGACGAACAAAACAATTCATTATTCACTTATTTTATTTTATTTCCATTAGTTTGACGATAAATTTAAAAGATAAATAAAATAATAACAATAATAATAAAGGATCAAAATAAAATCTTTTTTCTGATGCATCAAGATGCACGCATTATGCAGTGAAGTAACCGAAACACATCATATATAAGCATCAACAAATGAATAAGAATCGATTCTGTTTAAAAATGTATTGATCGTCAGTATCTGCATTATAAGCATGCATATATATATATATATATATCATGACCAAGGTCAGATAGCCAGAAAGGATTATTATTATTACTATATTATTATTATTATATCCTTTAATTCCTAGAGGAAAATAGGGCTTCATCTGCACGTCTCCACTGCCTTCGGTTTTCTGCCAACTTTTTCACCCCGTTCCAAGTCTGCCCACATGCTTTCATCTCCTCTTCACATGACCTCCTCCAAGTCACCCTTACACCAACGGCCAACTCGCCTCCCGCTTCCCTTTCGGCCTGGTTCCACTCGAGCAATAGCTTGTCTAGTGATGTCACTTGGTGGCTCGTTTCCTCAGAGTATGGCCAATCCACCTCCATTTCTCCCTGCATATTTGTTGCACAATCGATTCCTGTTGGGTTGGTTTGCTCATTGCCAGAGATCCCTCATTATTGCTGATCATTTCTGGCCGGCCATCTGATCTTGAGTAGTATTGAGCGAAGACTACTGTTAATGAAGGTCTGTAGTCTGTTTGAGATGCTCTTTACGACGCTCAGTGCAAGTCTCTGATCTGTATAGTGAGTAGCACTGAATCCACATTGGAGTTGAAAATCCGGATCTTATACTCGTTCTGATGGTGAGTGCTGTTGACCTCCGCACAGACTTAAGAGTAATGAAAGCTTGTCTTGCTTTTCCGATCCTCACTGCTTTGATATCCTCGTCAGTTCCGTCGGCCCGTAGTCGAAACGATGCTTCCCAGGTAGGTAGGTAGGTAGGTAGGTAGATAGGTATGTAGGTAAAGGAGGTTGTTTCTTTCAGGTTCCTCCCAGTAAGAAACGCTGGCAACTAAACAAATTATGCTGAAGGAAGTGGGGATGGATCAGACAGACACACACACTGAAGAGATCGTCGAGTGACATTACTCACTAGGCCTTAGAGTGGAACCCGAAAAAGAAATGACGAGTTGGGTATAGGTTAGAGGATGACATGGAAGAGATCGGGTGAAGAGGAGATGACAGCCAATGGGCAAATGTGGAGCAAGCTAAAGAGGACTGCAGCATGGACAGAGTGAAATCGAGATGGTATTTTTTGAAGCTCTATGTTTTACTCAGAACCCAAGAGAATAATAATAATGTCATAGGCATTAGAATGCCAAAGAATTACCTAAATCAGCTAATAATGAAATTTGTTTTTCGAGTTTGATAACAGAGTGATATTAGTTAGAGAACCATTGAAAGTCACCAGGGACTAATCGACAGCTGTTTCATTCTAGTTTGCGAATCATTGGTTGTACACACCCACTGGGTTTTCAACCCAAGATCTTTTGGTAACAAGCCAAGCCCGTATACCATTCAGATACTGAGACCCGATTCAATGGCCAGCCCATGAATTCTGTCTTCTATCAATTCGTGATTTCAACGCGACCAGCAACCATTGTCATCGGTTAGAACGCCTTGCACACTCCCGGCTGGATGGACCTTACTGGTCACGAATTCTCACTAGAACTGCAGTCAACTCCGTCCTGTAGCAAGTCACTAGCGAGCATCAGATGTTTAGTGTGCAATTTAGTTTTAGTGATATAACAACCAATGGGACAAAATTGTTATGGGATTCCTTTTAAAAACTTTTATAGCTGATGTCTTCATGACAAGCTTAGACAGTGTTTCTCTTAGGGGAATTAAGTCTAAATTGCCTTTAGTCCTATTCGGGACTTTTCATCTGGATGTACCTTCCTTCAGAGTAAGTAGTGGTGTTCCAACTGATTACCATTGAACAAGAGGTGGTTCTCATGACCAACAAGTGGTAGGTTCGAGTCTTAGTGAGGACACCATCACTCACTGGGGAATTCAAGTATATCCAGCCGAAGAGTCCCTAATAGGAGGAAATGTACATCCTCCTAGTTATTACCAACCAAAATAGTGTCCATACTAGAAGCCGACATGCCAACAGAGACCGAGCATGATATCATATGGTTGGGGGGCAATCGACAGGAAGCCATGGACCTAGGTTTCGTGCTAGCTGGCATTCACCAGTCAGCAAGGCGTATCTGCAACCTTGAAGGAACGCATGTCCCTTCTGAGATTCAAACCCGCGTCCCCCAGTGCTGCAGTCAGACACTTTATCACTGAGCTATTTGGGCTTGCGATTGACCTCCTGTAGGACTGTAGTGGATACTTTGATTGGACACTAGTAACTGGTGTGATGTGTCTAGTCCTTTCTTTAGTGCAAAGTGAATTCTATAATAGTGCCACATTGCAGACTGAACTGATCGGATTTATTATTATTTGTATCCTTTAGTTCCTAGAGGAACATAGGGCTTCAGCTGCGCACCTCCATTGACTTCGGTTTTCTGACAACTTTTTCACCCTGCTCCAGGTCTGCCCACATGCTTTCATCTCCTCTTCACATGACCTCCTCCAAGTCACCCTTGGACGACCAACTCGCCGCCTCCCTTTCGGGTTCCACTCGAGGGCTTGTCTAGTGATGTCACTTGATGGTTTCCTCAGCGTATGGCCAATCCATCTCCATTTCTTTCTGCCTATTTGTTTCACAATCGGTTCCTGATTGGTTCGCTCCCAGAGATCCCTGTTGCTGATCTTTTCTGGCCATCTGATCTTGAGTATTGAGCGGAGACAGTTGTTAATGAAGGTTTGAAGTTTGTTTGAGATGCTCTTTATGACTCGCCAAGTCTCTGATCCGTATAGTAGCACTGACTTCACATTGGAGTTGAAAATCCGGATCTTATTTTTGATGCTGATTGCTGTTGACCTCCACACAGATTTGAGAGTAATGAAAGCTTGTCTTGCTTTTCCGATTCTGGCTTTGATGTCTTCGTCAGTTCCGCCTGTAGTTGAGACGATGCTTCCCAGGTAGGTGAAGGAGGTTGTTTCTTTCAGGTTCTTCCCATTTATGCTTATTGTGGTCTGTTGTTGCTGTTGATGTTGGCAAGGAATCTTCATCACCTCTGTTTTATCCTCGGATTTAGTCTTAACCAAAGAAAGGATTGGAGACATCATACTAGTTACTAGTGTCCAGTTAGAGACCCAACATATCAACCGAACAAAACCAATCAACGGGAAATTAGCTCTAGTCCTGATTTGCATAAAAGATATATAGATGATATATTTACTGTTTGTGATGGAAACTGTCAGACTGTTGACCTCTTCAGATAACTTAATTGTGATCACCTGTTTATACGTGTTACAATCAAAGAATAGTTAAATTCTACCTTTTTATTTCTTAAATGTCATGTTAAATAGGACATATAGTGGTTTGTTGCAACGAACCTACCTAACGAACGCCAACCTATACATGGTAATACAATAACATGCAACATTTGGGTATCTCTAGATGGAAAGAGAAACCGTGTCCGCTTCCTATGTTCTAGAGCTTTGAAAGTTTTCTTTAGATGTGTAGTTGACAAACTGAACCAAAACCTTGATATGACGCTTATAAACAATGGATACTCTTGAAGGTTAAGTGAAAAAAACCCAGTGAGAAACAAATCACTACTAGCTAAATCATAGTGCCAGCAAAAACACTAATTATGAGCTTGGTATTCAAAGGTGGCACTACTAATGATGTACTTAAAAGTCATGACTTCAAGTGTATGAAACACACTTTCTATGCAGCTGACTTATGCCCGATATCATCGGCAGTGTGTGAAACACAAATTACTGCCTATGTTAACTTCTGTGTGCATCTGTTCTTCCACATGCTCCTGAGGAGCTAATTAGATTGGAATTTCTGAGTGAGTTTTCCGGAAACACGCAGGTGAATATTACCAGATTTGGTTGATGAAAGGCGAACAGAAAATGACGAAGTATTCTGCTTGCGATCATCGTCTTGATTGAGGTCATTTATTCCGAGATGGTTTACTTTTTAAAGTTATTTATGGGATTAAGCTCAGCCAATCTACATTCTCATCACTTATCTTTATACATGAAGGAATACGTAAACTGTTTGTTTTCAAAAACGTTTTATTCAATCTCTTTATTTACGTGGTCTATACACATAAACAAAGTAATTTCTGGGAGCACTGGACAGCTGTTTCGTCCTAGTTTGCGGCTCTTCACAGTACGAACCCAGGACCTTCTGGTTACAAGGCGAGCTCGTAGACCATAAAGCGACTGGGACCCGATGATGAAATGGATGAAATCCTCTAACCAACCGAAAAAAATCCCTACAAACCAATACTTGAAAATGAATCTGTTGCTTACTAGCTACTGACCCCATTCAAGCAGTTACCTGGGGTTCTAGTGGGAAGCCGTGATCAGTAGAATACAGCAGGTTGAAGGTGAGGTGAATAACTCATCGAAGAAGACATTTCGAAGTGGTCACGCTATGTCATGAATTGATAAAAGTCAGAATTCATGGACCGGCCATTTGATCGGGTCCTAGTGACTTAAAGGTTTACGATCTCGCCTTCTAACTATAGGGTCCTGAGTTCGAAGCCCGTGGTGGTTGGTGCGTACGGATGAAGAGTCACAAACTGGGACGAAACAGCTGCCCAGGACTCCCAAATTTTCCAACGGTTCTCTAACCAATGTCAGCTCATGATGAAATCCTGTAACTAATCAAATCCCTACAAACCAATATTTGAAAGTAATTTCTGTTTGATTCAGATTCACATAGTTGCTGGATTATACATGATTTCTCTCTTTCACTCTCCATTCCGCTCCAAACTTAATATAATTTTGAATAAAAATATCTCGAATAATGACTGGCTTCCTTTTCATTTCCCTGCTTATCAACGTTGTAGAAATCGCTGGTAATCATAATAATAATAATAATAATAGTGGTTAAGATAATAATTTTCACTCTGATGTACCTTCATCTACAATCACGGTGCCTTTAACTTTTCCATTCATCAAAGCAGAAAACACAGACAACTAAGGCACTACAAGTGTTCTGTTGATTTTCTTCTAAGAAGCACTTTTTCTATCCCTACAATAAGGAA